GCCAATATTGTTGTTGATAAACTAATAGTCTACCACAGTTGCTGCATAGCTAATATTGCCATTGAAAACCATAACACAATTTGTTTATGATAAACATTGATTAATACTGACCAACAAAAAATGTTACAGATATAAATTAACATTACTAAGTGAACAATGAGAAGTACCTTTGATAATTGGTCTATGATATTATTATCATAGAACAAGAACTATATTTGTTTTTAGGTTAAAATGTCTTTCAGTAATATAGGAATAGTTACTTGTTCCACAAATTAATATTGGTACATTTGAATGGCCACAAAACATTACCACAATTCTTGCAACAGTAATTACATCATGTTACCATTTAGTTTTGATGTAGATTTCCCAGCAAATGATAAAAATCAAGGCAGGGCAGTTACTATAACCATGTAATTTGGGTTTAATGTAGGCCCATTTATGTATATTTGCTCAGTTTAACTCTACAGCATCTGGTTGGATCACTCTGCCCCAAGGGAAAAATTGCATCATTGAATTAAAAATTTATAGAAAATAAACTTGTAGTCATTCTTTCACCAATTTTTTTTAATTATATCAGAGCTGATACTTATTCAATAAAAAAAAAATCATTTATTTAATTTTATACTAAACATTTAGAAAATATTGGGTTGGTTTCAGCATACTGAACATAATATGTCACTCAAATCCTCCAGGAGCAAATTCAAAATAGCATTGTACAAACTAACACCAGTTTGAACAGTGCAACTTCAATACACATATTGTTGTATAGATTTTAGCCAATTGTTGTTCTCAACTTTAATCTTCATTGTGTGATGAAATTGCCTATATCTCAGCTTTGATAAACCATATGCCAGTTTTTGAAACATTTTAGAGTATAGGAGGTGAGTGTGGTATATTCCAGATAGAAATATTTGAATGCCCATGCTTAAACATTTGACACCTAAGCATGAAGCTTATATTTAACAGAGAATTGAACTAATGTGAGTGAGTATAGTGATAATGAGGTAAAGTGGAGTCTTTGAGCAATAGATGAAGTACATGAAGACTGTTTTAAGAGTGACATATCTTCCATTTGTGAGTCACTTTATTTTTTATTTATTGTTTATATTAAATTGAATTGTTGTTTTTCTTGATTTAATACTGATTTTGTTGCATGACTGTCAATTATTTTCTCATTCTTTTGAGGCATGAGTGGCTACTTTATTCTTGTGATTATTATCTTTATATTATAAGATGTTTTGGATACTGCATGTATATATAAAGTAGCCTGTGTTTAGTCCACTCTGAACTCTTCTTCTGTCCTATTGCTTGCTCTCACTGTCTACAGAAACAACTTTCGAAAGCTGGCACCTTCTGGAATCATGGAGACACTGTTGTTGATGTGACCAATGTGAGTTGTTGTGTCAGATCTTTCCAAGGGTATCGAAATTCTATTGGCTTATGATTATATCTTTTATACTTTTTAACCTAATGCACATTCCTCAAACTTCCTCTTCTATCTGAAAGTTTTTAAAGTAAAACTTAATACCTGCAGCACGATCTAGCCCAGCATCTTTTAGTACTGAGCCTAGGAACCAGAGATTTCGGGTTATTTCAGTAGATCACAGTGAATGAAGCTCTGCACAACTTCTAAAATGAAGAAAAACACTAAATATTAATGAAATATGACTTGATGAAATCTATATGAATTATACTATGGTGGTACCATACTGGGTATTATACCATCATTTTTATATTTACTCTTCATTGCAGAAATATTTTTAATATGAGAATCTGCTTCAAATTCAACACTGCATCTATGGGCTTTACTGTGTCATTAGTTTCACAAAATATTGAAACTAATGATTTCTTATATATGATTCCAATCTCCCCTTTTTTAAAGGTAACAGTAATATCGTATCAGTTTTTTTATATTTTGTTGTCAATGCAGTAATAAATTGACAAATCTTGGATTCAGCTGGTATGTCAAATCGACTGGATAACTTCAAGCAAGTTCCTCTCTCATCTGACCTGGACCCATGGTTTAGCTTAATTACTGTACTTAAACCGTTCATATTCACAACCACATCTAGAACATTTCAAGCATGTTTCATCGCTACGTTGTTTTACTTTACATTTACAAGTTAACTTCATCATATTGGTTCTCATGGACTCTGGTCCAGCCACAGGTCTGGTCCAGCAAACTAAATCTTGAAAATAGTGCCAAATATCTTCTTATTTTTCCAATATTAAAATAACCCAAACCTTTCTGGAATGACTCGTTTTTTGGATCCACATCAAGATGCTGGGCTGGCTCATGTGGCAGGTGTTAAAACAACTGAAAGATCTCAAAAAAGGTGGTCAAGTACATTGATAAAAAATTTTCAAGTATGATTTTGTATCGCATCTAAAGTAAAAAGTTTAGTTATTATTACTATTATTATTTTTTTTTTTTCTTATTTAATTAGGGGTTTTTCAATTAAAAGCTAATTTTTAATATTTTTCTATCAAGAAACCCAGGATGAAACAATGTAATTTACTGCATGCCATTTTTTGCTTGTTTGAATTAACTTTGTTTTCCACTGTATTTTAATTATTGTTTCTGTGAATACTGTTAAATATTTGTTATGTAATGGTTAATTGTATTTCAGGAAAACAACCAATATGTGGATGTATGTTGTATAATTTACCATACATTCTTTAATAATTTGGTTTTGGATGTAGGGTTATTTGAAATGTTAATTATGGGACCAATATTTAAAAAATTAATTAAATGATTTGAGCTGTTAAGAAATATGCAGTAGTTAGAATTTATCATTGGGTAAGTTTAACATGAACTATGTGTGTACATTTCCTGACCACTTCAGTAAAACACGTTATTAAATATTAAAAAACTGGATTTTATGTTGTTATTAAAGGGCATCTCTAACCCTCTTATACAGATTCAGATCTTGTATTACTATATATACATATATATATATATTATGCATATTTTGTTAATTATTTATAAGTTTTCAGGTTTATGATCACTTGTATACAGTTACAATGAATATTGTTTTCATTTTAGATTGTGCTTTGTTCTTAGTCCTGTGTCCTGTTATATTTACTTATTTCATTGTCCTTGGTGGGGTGCTTATTTCAGCTTCCAGTACATTTATTAACATCTGGCTTTCATCTCTTCATTATCTTTTCATCATTATAAGACAAGTTTTGCCCCTCCAGTCTACTTTGTGTTTCTGCAGTTCTATCCGATGGGTGGACATTCAATGATCATTTGTTATGTTTATAAAGCAAAAACTGAAACTGTCTGAAGCATTTATATAGATAATACTCTTGTATTTGTTTGTCTGAAACTTTTCTCATAAATTTCTTGATCAAATGCTACAAATCTCATATCTTTAGAAAGGCCTTTGTCCAAGGAGACTGAATTTCATATTGGATTTTCAGTTTAGAACAATTTTGCCTATGTTTTGCTCAGTCAGTCTTTTTTGAATGCATTGAATATGGTACATGATGGTACAATGTCATTGTCATCACATGACAACTGGCTTCAATTTCAACTGTAGTTTTTTTATTTGCAAAGTATTTCATACACATAACACTTAACCCATGTATAGTTTTCTAGAAAAATTAACATTATACTAGATAAAATTTCTGTGGGCTTTCTCAAGTTATTCAGGTCTAAAATATGCATGTGCAGTTCATTCAAAACCACATGCTTATCACTTTGTGAATATGTATTCAGATGTTTATGTATATTCAGCTAAGTTTACTTTCATTACAGCATTACATTTACTTTACTTTGCAATAATTTAGCTTGGGTTCATTTCATAGACTGCTATAAACACCTTTTAGCTACTTTTTTTCTTTACTACGGGTTTTATTCCTCGATTGCGAGTTTCTTTGTTCCTACTCCTAAAACTATGTCATAAACTGATTGCTAATAACTGTTTCATACTCTGTACACTATTATAAATACCATTACTATACTTTTTTTGTTTACTTTATGTGTAGTTTTATTAAATAAAATTACATCAATGTGATTTTTTTGGTCTGACAAAAGAAAATTTTTTCAAATAGACCAGGATTTATTGATCTAATATGTTATGCCTGCAAAAAAGCATAGCTTAAATGGCATGCATAAAAATGATAGAATAAAGAAAATTCAAGGAAAGGGCATAAAAACTACAACTATTTTGTGGGTCATGACTAATACAGAAAATGTTCTTAAAAATCAAAAAGTGTAGATTTAGCTTCTCTTTATGTGTGTACTAAAATAGACTATTGTTCTAATGATTTGTTTTTAAATGCTCTAATTTTTTATATATTAAAGCAACTTAGACATTTGGATAATTACTGTCTTTGAAGACTTGAAGAGTAACTGTCAGATCCAGATTGAGATGGAAGAGGGCTAAACATATAATTATAAGACTTTTTTTTTCAACCTGGAGAAGGATAAGGTATACAATACCAAGTTAGAATTAAATTATAGTATTATCATTGAACGGGAACAAAGTTTGAAAGAAATTGAAATCTTCTTAGATGTTTTCTTGGCATTCTCAGGAGAACCCTGAGAACACTCAACAATTTTGTCAGTTTTGTTCTAGCTGTTGGGAAGTTCTTCATCTATCCCTGGAAGCAGTGTTTGAAAAGTGGAAAAACAACTGACCATTTGTGTTATATATTTTTCACACTGTTGAAATTTATCACTGTTGCCACTCTTTTAACTTTCCAGACTTGTAACACATTTCTTCTCTTTCATTGCTTAACAGCTTATACTGTGCTTTCTGAACAACACATTCACCTAGATCACATGTCATTGTATTTATTGGCCTATATTGTTTTACTTTGCCAAACTGTTTTTGAAAATGATGGATATGACATTTACTTTTATGACTACTGTAAACCATAATATCTTTCCACTTTGAATTGTAAGGGATAGGGATGGTGTAAAACTTTCATATTATATACAATAATAAAACTGTGGAAGGGGGAATATATACATACATAAAATCTAAATCTTGTTGGAACTGAATTGTTCTTTGCTTAAAATTTATTTCTTTTTAACTGGTATGGCTAGGATGAATTCTAATTCTCTCTTGCAAATTTCAATTGAAGGAAGAGTTTTTTGGAAAGGTCGGTTTAAGGTTTTGGGTTTACATAACTTGGAATTAAAGTTTATACCATTATCATTGTTCATAGTTTAACACTAATAAAAATTACAGCTGCAGTACTATCATATTCTGTAGATTAAGATTAGTAAACATTACAGCTGCAGTACTATCATATTCTGTAGATTAAGATTAGTAAACATTACAGCTGCAGTACTATCATATTCTGTAGATTAAGATTAGTAAACATTACAGCTGCAGATTGTTTCTTCCTCTTTGTACAGACCCATCAGCCTGTCTTTGTGCGGCTACTCCAAGGAGCTTTTAGGTTATCCAATTGTTCCTGGTTAAACTTGCAGCAAAGGATGAATGTGGAGAACTGCATTAAAACTTTATCTGATACTGGTAAGTACTGAAATTTGTATGTTATTTACTTCATTGAAAACTGTCAAAAATAAAGCTAGAAATTATATGAAGTTTATGTAAAATAAATATCAGAAACACTGTCTTTTATTTAATGGCATCTTACAGTTAGAAATTTTTGGGAAAATTAAGCTTTGTGACTTTGTTTTATGAAGTGAGTGTTCCTACAAGATGTAAAACGTTGACTGATTCCTACAGAATGAAACTAGCTAATGTTAAAAAATTATCAGCATCTCCTGGGATAATGAAAAATGGTGTACAGTCAAGGAATTCATGTGTATTCAGATTTTTCTTCAGGAAGCAATATCAAAAAGTTCTTCAATACTTTCATTACTTTTTACACTTCAAATATTAATATAATTTTGGTGAATTATTATCAAAATACAGTGACATTTTTACATCTACATTTCAATTTACTTAGGTGTTTTTGGTTTTGATATTTTTTAACAAATTTTATGTGTAAAAAAAAATTATACTGATATTGTAAGAACAGCAATTCAAATACTTTTGGAGAATATAATTCTTTTCATCTTTAGTATGAAACATAATTTTTGACCAATAGTTGTATCCTCATACTCCAAGAAATGGTACAAAAAGTAATGATTGTTTGATACAAATGTTTATTCATTTGTGTTCTTTGATCCTTATCTTGTTTTACAGCAAAAAATCGAGGTATTGCTATTCCTGTTGACCTCGATACCCAAGTTGCTTCAATGTTTAATAAAAATGCTGTCATTGGAAAACACACCAGAGCATGGCTTTCAGCTGCACGAGGTCCTCGCAGAGATCCTTCTTCATCTAGTTTATTTCGTAATGAACGCAGCATCATTGAAGGACTTCAGGTATAAAATGAAGCTTATGTTAAAGGAAAATGTTGGCAGATTCTATGAAATATTTCACACTTTTAAGTGGAATAAAAATTAAATTACTTGCATAATGTTTCATAAAGTGGCTTTGAATGACCTTGTATGTTACTCTTAACTACAAATCAAAATACTATGTTAATTGTAATTTATTTTTGTGTCTATACACACATTGAATGTATATTCAGAAAAAACTATATACATGTGTTATTTAATTTTTTCTTAATATTTGTACCAATTATTTCTGATACAAAGGTGTTGCATATGATTCCTGTTACCAATTCTGTGTTTTTAGTAGATAAAGCATTTACATAATAGGTAATTAATTCTGGAATGTTACATATCTAAATGTGTTCTGTATATTTGTCCTTTACTCCCATCAAGGCCCGGCATGGCCAGGTGGTTAGAGTGCTTGACTCGCAATCTGAGGCTCTTGGGTTCAATTCCCTGTACCACCAAACATACTTGTCCTTTCAGCCATGGGGGCATTATAATGTGACAGTCAATTTCACTATTCGTTAATAAAAGAATAGCCCAAGAGTTTGTGGTGGGTGGTGATGACTAGAGGCCTTCCCTCTAGTCTTTCACTGCTAAATTAGGGACATATAGCCCTCGTGTAGCTTTACGTGAAATTCAAACCAAACCAAACTCCTATCAAACCTCTCTCTCTTCCACACTGGATCTTCATGTTGTATTGCATTTCTTACAGTCGAAGTAAAACAATAATTGGGTGAATTGTACTGATTTCCCACCAAAATTTGATATTCTAACTGAACCATTTTAATCATATTTTACAGTGGTTTTTGTCTCATGGATCTGTTTATCTTTTTTTAATAATAGTGTTAAGAATGTGATTGCTCTGGTGCCCTTTTTTTATACTAAACTAGATTGGATAAAGTGTTTTGTTTCTATCATTTTAAATTTCACGAGTTTATCACACACACAAACACATGTTCTAGAGATATTATACCTCATATAACTTTGTTATGAAAGCTTCTTTCTTCATGTTTATAAAATGTATGAAGCGTCTTGAATTTATAGCAAACTGTTGTTAAACATATTAGTCATAGTATACAAATAAATTATATTTCAATCAACCCAAAAAATTATTTAAGATATATCAGGTTTTGTATAAGTTGTATTAACTTCTTTCTTCATAATTCTACTGCCTTGAATGTATAGAATAATCATTGTTTAAGCTTGTGTATGTATGCTATCTACCCTATACAAATAAATTATACTTATTCTGTAAACAATACTTATGGTTGTGAACGTAGTACAAAACAATATTTAATGTGTATTTGTTGATTGATTGTGGGTAGATTGTTCAAGGTTTTTGTAACTCCTCTACAGGTATATTGTGAACTGAATGTGCTCTACTTGCTAAGTTGATAGGGAAGTTCAAGGTTCTATTTATATTTGCTGCTTCTTCCAATATATTATGCATTGAATTAGTTGTATGTAAGAATAAATAAAAATTCAAAGAATATTACTGAAAAAAAATAGGTATTAAAGTTAAGCATTGATTATCCACAGAATTAGCTTTTTTAAACAATTTAATTATTTATGCATCACATTTCTTGTGGTTCCATAATTAAGAGTAACCATAATTAACTTGGTTACAGGGCCCCTAATACCTTCAGTATATTGTAATTAATCCCTCTAATTATTGCTAGGGTCTACCATATATTGACTGTTATTTTGAAATCTGAAAGTGAAGAAAATGAAAATAGTAGCACAAAATGCATACCATAACTATCTCTTGTAGTTATGCTGTGGTATTTTGAATCCATTTTATTTCACCATGTAGTAACCTAAATTTAAAAAATAAATCTTCAACATGTATATACATATTATAGTGAATAGAAATGTTTCTTTGACATCTTCTGCATATTTGGTAAACATTTTTTAGCATTTCTGTTTATTGCATTTTTATTTTCCTTCATTTTTTTCAAACAGTTAATAGTTGTAACAAAAGTAGACTAAAGATAGATTATAATTTGAAAATTCTTTACTTTTAAGATAGTTTTATCCTTTTTCATTTTTGTCCTGTTTTAGGACATAGTGTCGTTACTGGAAGATCAATTGCACCCACTTGTTCAATCTGAATTATCAGTTCTTGTAGACGTCCTGCATCGACCGGAGTTGCTATTTCCTCCGAGGACTGAGGCATATAAAAAGTGTGCAAATGGAGGCTTTATTTCCAAGTAAGCGTATTTCTTTATTTTCTGTTTTTTTACCTTTTTTATTAAAAATTTAAAGACTTTGTTGTTGGTTTGAGAATTCTAAATTTGTCACGAACCAGTTATCTCTGTCCTGCTTCTTGTGATTTAACATAAAATGTTGCATAATTTTATCATTCACGTTTTAACTGCAGTTAAAATAAAAAGTTTGTTTCATTCATATATCTGTTAGTACCGAAGCATCTGCTTTTTTGAATTGATTACACATGCTAGACAATATAGAAAGTGAGATTGAATCTATTAATTGTTCCATAAATTATTGTTTGCATTTCACTACCCTGAATTTATTACAAATAATGACATCTTTGGAACAGTAAAATACAGATTTTCTACTTCAAAATTTTTAATTATTTCGGTACTACAATTAGCATGTTAAGTTATTCATATTTTACTTCTCAAGATCATTTTTAAATGTTTTTGTTCATTTTCTTATTTTATCCTTGAAATTTGCTATTAAACTTTACTCTGTAGGTTAATAGCACACACAGAAAGACTGTTAGAAGAAAAAGAAGAAAAACTGTGTATCAGAGTTTTACAAACACTGAAAGAGATGATGTCCTTAGATCCAGACTATGGAGAAAAGGTAAGAACCGAGTTAATCATGATTTTTTTATCCCATATTGATAACCTTAAATTACTTCAGTGTAATGTGTTTTCATGTTATCATTTTTTTTTATAGTTTCAAGGCAAATGATAGTTTATAGTCTTAAGCCTACTGGTAATGAAGCGACACTTAAGCTTATATTAGAGAAGTAAATACTTCAACAGTTCATTAAAAGTACGAACTGTAATTGTCACTGGTCTTAAACATTATACTAGAAGAAACATACTTATCAACAATTAATGTTCCTGGTGATTATGAAGAGAAATTTAAATTTAAAATAATCATATCGTAAAAACTTTGATATTTGGTTTATCAAACCCATCTTACATTGCACACCTAAGTAAGTTTACCTCCAATATAGCATTTCTTGTATTTTTCTTCTTTCAACAGAAACTGATTGATGATTTCAATAAAATGAGTGTTAGTGTGCAAGATATGAGGATTGCCAAACACTGCATACAATAGATGATGTGTGCAGTAGCTTCTTTTATTGATAGACTTGATAAGCTGATTGATAATAATGGAAAACATAATTAACATCTGTGTGACCACTTTTGAAACAAACTCACAGACTTTTCTGAATAAAACTTGTGATTTTCAATGTGCCTCTGTTGAAATTTAGCTCTCTCTAGTATTAACATGCAGTTACTTTAAATAAGGGGGGTCTTCATTATACGCTACTCTTACAAGTAGCATCTTACACGGTAAAACTTAATACAGATACACGAATAACAGAAGAATAACAGTCAAGAAATTAGTGACTACAGTACTTGCTGGTAGATACGACCACTCCCACTGATGACTTCCTTTTGCATACTACTTGTTTTCTGTGCACGGAATGATTTTACATTGATCTGACCTCCCACAAACGACTTCCTGACAGATGCAACATACAACCATGATTTTTGGGTGGAAGGTGAGATAGCGACCTCTCTGTAGTGACTTTTCTTCATTTCAATAAAAAAATGTATGAACATGTGTGTTCATTTATTTGATTTTACGTGTACATGTACGTACTATAATCTGAATTGGTGATGATGATTCAACTGTAGTTTTTTTATGTTGGCAATGAATATGAAGACTGGGAAATTTTCATATTTTATGTAATATTCTTCAAAATCTGAATATCTCTACCTCAATTATTCAATGTGATCAGAAAAAATTAATAATTGACACGGGTTTTTACGAGTAGTACGCAATTGGCCATAAAAGTGAGACTGTGATGCAAGCTGAGAAAACCATCACCAGCCAATCAGCAGTAAGAATGAGTATTTTTCTCGAGGTGTCAGATGATGCCTGATGTAGGTAATTCTCCCTGTGAGTAGTTAACCTGCATAGTGCTGTATAAATATGACGCACGTCAAAGAATAAGTCACTTAAATTTTTGTACCAAGACAGATTTTGTTTCACAATGCCTGAAGAAAAGCCAAAACATAAACACTTCACCTCAATTTTGCACACTGAAAATGAACAACAAAATGCTTCTCAATATCATATCTGCCAGACTCGTGAACATTCAAAGTGACCTGTTAACCCTGTCATCGCAAGTCAAAGGCCATGTCATCGAGTTTGTTGACTCGCATTTAAAATTTTATTCAACTACTATTTTGTGAATTTATGTCAATACGTTTGGTATCAAATTGTAGATTATAATCCAAATTTTAGTATTTTACATCAGTTAACTTATTAATTTAAAAGTAAATATTAAAAAACACACCTAAATATAAATTTTTGTGTGTCACATGGTATCTTGAATGCATCATAGGTTCAAATTAGATGTTTGTGATGTCCAAATAAAAAGTCTATAGTTTCTTACGAATTAGGAACTAAAATTACCTATATTTACAAGTTAGAACATAAAATAAGAACCTCCTATCTTTTCTATTTGCTGAGATATCACTACATTTACTGACTCAAACACAGTGGTCATGCCCACCTCTTCCCATTTTTGGAAACACTTGCTTATGTACACCTACTTCTTTCTATGACGTGTAAATAACGAATCAAAAGCTCAGAATGTCCCCCCTAGTGGCTTTCTAAGTCTTTGTTGAAACATACAGATATGGAACTCTTTTATACAAGATTCAATGGTAAGACTTTAGTGAGCTCGAAAAATTTCATATTTTTTTAGACCCAAGTACAGCTTAACTCTCTCAAAGTGGGCTCAGTCAATTTGACTGACCACGTGACCTCTTTGTACTCGATTAAAGTCTTTATAAATTTAATACTTCTAACTTTCAATATAGTGGGTATGTCTTCGTAAAATTTGGCAGTCTTTCAGTTCATATTAATAAGTCTTTCACATACAAAAAAAATCATATTTTTAATGAAGTCTTTTTAATAAAATAAAATAAAGATTTGTCTATTAATATATTGAGTATTTGTTTTGAATAGTCTGAGTGCAAAGTAATTTTCATGTTTAAATTAAAAATACTTTTCCCTCATCTCAAAAATCTCAAATTTCCTTTGTGTAATCCCTAAAACCTCCTAAATGCATTTCAAACGTTTTTTGTTTTTTTTTTCAGTAAAACTATAGATAATCTGTTATTTTCTCTATCTCAAAACAGGATTGGTCATTTTGACCGACCTTGTAACCACCAAAAAAAATCGAAATAAACCTAAATTACCCTCTTTTTTCTTTGTAGAATGACTTCAAATTGTAACATGAAACTACATTTGTTTATTCCAAGTAGCTCGAAGTTCGTAACAGTATACATCTTTTTGTAATTAAATTGTTTTATTGCCATTTGAACCATGTCTAACAACTATCCATGCCATTATAAGTTGTAAATCACTTGGGAAATGTGTAGTTCATGTTACACTATCAAATTACATTACCCACGAGCTGCTCGCGTGCATACTTCATGAACCATTTGAATTATTATTATTACTTATTTTACCTAATCTAGTCTTAAATAACTTAAAGAGATCCATATTTTTAGATTTTAGTTACGTTTATAATAATAAATAAAGAATAAATATGAAAAACAAGAAATAAAGTACTTGGCCAATCTTCATTTTTTTCTTGCTCTAGGGTTTTCGATGATAGTTAACCCTAATTTTTTATACCATAGATAGTAATGCACTTAATAATTTTTATTTAATTAAATAATGCACCAAAGAATATAAACTGATAACATTTAAAAAGTAGACAAATTACCTCTCAAAATTTTCCTGGATTTCTAACTGTGCGACCAGAGCTGTTACAACTTCATCCAAGGTAGTTGTTAACTTTCCCACAGGAACGAATCTTGTACTATGAGTGAAATTAACGATATTCTGTTCAGAACACAAGGTTATACAATACATCATTTGATAGATGAAAACCTTGACTTTCTATTGGTTATAGGTAATATATATAATGAAACATAAGAGAGAGAACTATCAACGAATTCTGAAAGAGAGGATATGGCAGGAGGGGTCTGATTTTCTATTTGATAGTTCTGAAACCAAACAAAATTGAAGGCTATAAAAAATCATGGTTTGCTTGAGCCATAACGATTTTATAGAGAGCATTTTACATTTAATTTCGTACTTGTTTGAGGGATGATGGATAAAATAGGGATAATGACATGCTAAGAGAAGATGTCACGTGGATCACACTAATGGAAATTTAGGATTTTTTTAAATATTGCCTTGTAGAATTAAGAACTTAAAAATTATATACTATTAAAATATGGATTATTAGCTAAGATTTTATGCTATTCTAATTGGTATAACATAAACAAAAAGTAGTTCAAAAGATTTTGAATATAAGACACTAAAATCTTGTCATGTGCAGTAAAGGATACCCAGGGCAATAGGGTTAATAACTAAGCGTGATAAGTTATAGTACAATTCTATGGTATTGATATGGTAATTTATGATCTTTGGTTATTTCAAAATGTATATATAAAACCTACAAAAAATTTTGTTTAACATCCTCTATGAGTGAAACTTTATAAGGCTTAGCAAACTACGGCAAGTAACAAACAAATACAAAGTTCATAACTAGAAGAGATAATTGTTTGTTATACTTCTTTATTTACTGTTCTATGTTTTAAGAAAAATAAGTTTAAGAACTTGTTTGTAAATAGTAATAATGTATATACATATATAATGTATAATAATGGAAATGTGACTGTATCTTACAAAATACTGGTCTACTAAAACACAGCCAAGACAGGTCACTTTGTAAAGACCATAAGTCAGTTTTATATTCTTGGATATGGTAACATGAGTGCATGTGTGCCACGTCATTGCAACTTCTGTAATGTTAACCAGGTATGGCTGAAAAGGTCATTATAATAAAAATAATAAATATATATAAATGTATAATGTTGTAAGATTTATGCTATTTAGACTAAACATTTGCATTTTCGTGTTGTTACTTGTAGTCATTCTATAACAAAAAAAGCATAATTTATATATGTATTTCCTAATTTTTTATGGTGATTATGAGGTCAGTCCAATTGACCGAACCTGAACAGAGATTCGATAGTGAAAATAACAGATAAAATATATATATGTATAGTTTTTTCTTTAAAAAAACGTTTGATAATTATCTGAAGGTTATAAAGATTTTACATGTGAAATTTTAAAATTTTTTAATTTATAAAAATATTTTTAATCTTAAAATAAAAATTACTTTGCATGTTGGATAGTCAACATTCAAAAAGAGAAAAGACATGAGAAAAACATTACATAAAAAATCTTAAACTTGATAAAATAATAATCTGATATTTTGTGTATGAAAGCCTTGTAATGTTTATTGATAATCTGCAAAATTTTATTTAAAAGTTCTGGCATGAAAACTATAACAAGCACAAAATGGTTACAAGGTCGGTCCCTGGGACCAAGCCTGTGCTGAAAGAGTTAAATGTCCAAACAAACAAAGATGGACAATTTTTTTATGAAATATATTTGGTGTCAATTTTTCATATTTTACGTATATGAAATACAAATGTGATACATGTGTGTTTTATGAAATAGAGATGTGATGATTAATTAAATAAATGTGATCAATGAATAAATTATTTTACCTGAAACACAAAACAATTTTAAGTTATTGTTATTGAACTTTTATCCATCATAACTATTATTATACATCATCTGAATACCTATACAGTATATAAATCATTATGTTTAAGCCTTGGCAATAGCAACTAGCAAAGTTTGAACTCAATCATTTGTTATCTGGTTATTGATCCTTTGAATAGCAACTTCCTGTCACATAAGACTTTTATCATGACAGATAGGGCAGTCATATGTAAGAGAGAGACTACTGTACATCAGTGGGATCTTGGTAACAATTATGTGAACATTGTTAATACTAGCTTTCCAGGTTTAATAAATATATGACATAAATTACTTGATATTTTGTGAAAAAGAGCAGCAAAAAAACTATCTAATATCAAGTTATTAATTTTCAATTAAGTGTTTGATACAGAAGAGTGGTCAGCAAAAATATCTTCTGTGATAAACCTTATTTTTAGTTGTTTATTAATAAGAGTAGACTTTAACTTATTACAGCATAAACATAACCAAAAATAACTAAAAGAGAGAAGCTATCAAAACTATAATTACAATTAATCAAGACCAATTAAGAAAGCTTTTGTTTCAGAAAAATTTAGAGTTTTAATTTAAAAGTGGCCATACTAAGAATTATCATGTGGAAATAGCAGAAACTGTACCAAAACTTGTTGCACATTTTGTTTTATTAATGTTAGGGTATTAAGCAATTTCTGTTGAATCTTTAGCAGAATGGATTAGGCCTAACATGATGCAAGCCAAAAAATTGGTATCTAGTTTTCCTTGGAAGGTCTATTCTGAATTAATGAAATTAATAATAAAAAAAAATGAAAAATGTTCTTTTAGTATCAGTTGTGTGAGAATACTGAAGCAGTAACCAAAATTTCATGATTAAAGCATAAAAGAGTTTCCAAGATCAAATTTTAATTGTTTATTTAGTTGATGGTGTAATTGTATACAGTTTATTGTTGACTTTAATCAATTCGTAATGTGTCACAGATTTATGTTTTAGGTATTGTAATATCTATAATACACAATATTATTCTTTGAAGTGTTCATTGTTATTAAACTGCATGCCACATAATGTGCTACTATAATGATTCTAGCAGCTTGTCACGATATATATTTCACTTTTTTGATATATGTTGTAAATAATCTGGTTTGCAAGTTTATGGTAAAACTCCTGTAAAATTTTACAGGAAATTCTTTTAAGACATCTGTTGTTCTTTGTCTTCTCTTTGTCAGTTTTTAGTATGAAACTTTTAACATATATTTAGCAACTGACATCTAACACTTTCTGGATGTTTTATACAATAATTCAAATTACGTACCACTATAGTTTGTTACTTGTTATCATAATACACAAAACTTTTACATGTAATTCATTTACCTTACACTACACTTCCAAATCAGGTTATTCAATATTTAAAAATCAAATTGAATTAAAACAGTCAGAATTTTATAAATTTCTGTATGCTTAGTTTATAGATAATCAGGTAGAGTTTGTAAAAGATTTAAAACCGTAAGGATTAAGAATAATTTTTTTTAAATTAATGGTCCTATTAATTACAGCCCAAATTTCTTTGAATTACACCATATAAACTGACAAATTGAAATGTAAATCATCAACTACTTATACTTCATGATAAGTTCATGAAATTGAAATACAGTTTTTTGGACTTCAGTTGAAGTACTTTATAATACATCCATAGTACAGAGGTCTTACCTGAATCAAAATTCCTAAAATATTAACATCTTGTTTCATATCCTGTAACTGGTTAAAGGACATGTCAAATAAACATATGTATTAGTTTCATTCACAACTTTGTGAATTGTAATTACACTTTTTTAGTGTGAATATAGTTCTTACAATTTCAGATTGAGCTTAAGATTTATATAATAAGCTTTGAAGTAACTTAATTACTTATTGCTCATAAATTCCTTTAGGTCCATAGTCTGCTTTGGAAGTGAAACCTAAACCTATTCTGTTCTTATAATATATGTTGTAGTGATTTTTTTCTTCTTGTCTGCTGGGATTCCTGTATAAGAAGAAAAATCTCGTAGCTGCCTTTCGTTAGCCTTGTATGTCATTAGATTCTGTAATTACAGTTCGAATTTCTCCTTTCATCTCTTCCCTCTTTTGCCCTCTGCCAACTTGCTGTGTGTCATAGATCGATCAAAAACTGCTGTCGCGCCGAGAACAAGAAGACCAGGCCAGGGTAAGATAGATAGTATAATGGCCATGGGAATGCATCTTTGTTATTGCTTTTTTCCCCATCATTAGCATGAACAGTATTACTAACCTCTATGTACATTCATCTATAAAGAGTAATGCTGATGTTCTGTATACAAGCACTTTAAAAGATATGACAAAGGATCCTTTTTTACCAGTACTCAAAAAAATTAAAAAGTTTTGAAAGTTTAACATTAATATTATTATATTGTTACTTATGTATATAAAAAAAAGTTGCAAAAATAATACTTTGGCAATATGTATTTAAGGCTCTGATTAAATTGGTTGGTATGTTGCATTGACCAAAGAGAAATTATTTTGATGTATTAGGATAATTGTAAAGTAAGTAATAAAATTTCTTGGGAAATCTTTCAACTTGGGAATTTTACAACTTTTTTTTTCCAGTTACTAAATTATTTGTTCAAAGAATTCCTAAATAAGTTCATATGCAATTCTACCTAACCTCCTCCCCACAAACACACACACATCTCTCTCTTTTTTTTCTTTATCACTGGTGTGCTTTAAGCTTCCTTATATTCAATGGACTGTTAATGGTGTGATATGAAAATAATATTTTCATAATTGAAATTGGAAGATGCCCATTTCAATTTCATGTTTAATACCGACAGTCATACAAATTATATCCTTTGCCATATCTTGTGCTGACCTTCTTGAGGATGTGGCATGACGTGTTTATCCTAATTTTAGACTTTTATTATCAAGCTTTTTGTTTTGTAAAAATGTGTACAAAAAATATTTAATAATTTCTGAGAGTAGCTCCTAAACAAAAGACTAATGTTTCGTGAGTTTACTTAATGTTGAGTTTTGGCTCGTAAGTTTGGTTTTGTTTTGTTTTTGTATTGTTTAATATGTGTGGCTTTTTTCTCCAAGTGTGACTTTTTAAACTAATGCTTGTGTTATTGGAGAGTAGATTTTTCATTCTCTGTGTGTTTTAAACATACTTAGCATTACTTGTATGTCTGCATGTTTGAAGTTCTGAAGAAATAAGTATTGCAAGTTTTTAATTTGTGAAATGGAAATGTAAGTTGAGCAAAGATATCAAAATCAATGTGATTTATTAAAAGGGAGAAAGACTCCGTCAAACTTTACTAGTCCGCTACTTTGGCAAGTCTCCACAGAAGAAAGACACAAATTCTGGACAAAATAAGCAACAAACTACGACTCGAGCAAGCGTGAGTAGCTCTTCGCTGCATGCTCCGGGTGGTCTCATGCTAAGTCGAGCAGAAATGACATTGGCTGAAGTTCAGTGTCATCTTGATAAGGAAGGAGCTTCAAACTTGGTAATAGAGCTGATTATGAGAAACCCAAGTCAGGCCATCTTCGTAGAAAGTGTGGAACTAGGAATAGCTCTTTTGGAGGGAGGAAACCCTGTAATTCAGGTTAGTAGATCTGATATAAGAAGAAACAAATTTACAGTAGTGGAATCATGCATACACAAAATTGATCTTCTGGTAAAGAAAAGTGTGGTACTAGTATTGTAGATCTTCGTAGAGAAAGTTCAGGTTTAGTAGTTGAGAAAGAGAAAAATTTAGTGATTCGAGTTAATAGAAAGTTGGATCTTGAAATTTTAACATATGATAGAACAAAATTCAAATCATGGAGAAATACAATAGATAATTTAAGTTAAAGCAGACTGGAAGGTATTTAGACGTCTCTTGGCTTTTATTTTGTTCAAGAATGTATGCAATGAAAATTGTAAAATCCAGAAGTCTTGTAAAATATTATTTATATAGAATGTATACAAAAAGAAATCAAATAACATTTTTTGTTACTTCATGTTTTCCAGAAATCCATGCTGTACAAGCTAACCCAAGGCAACATATCAGAGAAGTTTTTCAAGGTGTTTTTTGACAAAATGAAAGAATCTCAACAAGAAATCAAAGCTACAGTAACTGTAAATACAGCTGAAATTGCAGCGAGGACTGGTGAAGATAGGGAGTTATTGGGAAAAGATTTAGGGAAAGATGGAAGGAGAGTTAGAGGTAATGAATTACATGTAATATATAATTTTGTAGCGTATGTTTTCTCTATTTTTTCCCCATTGTTTCACATTGAATGTATTTAAAAAAATTCATTGATGAAATTTTCCTCCATTCAGTATGGACATATATGCAGCATTACCTCTGTAGCAACTGTTCACTGCTTTATCAAAAACTATGATAGTGGTTCATAATAGGGATTGCAAGGAATTGCACAAAACCCTAATAAAATGGTCAGGCAAAAAGCACCTTAAACACGAAAGGTTCAGTTCAAATAACACTTTACAACCTTTACTATTAGCTGACTGCTAAGGCTGTACACATATAAAAATGCACAAAAAAGTACGAATGTTAGAACTACAAGGAAAAGAAAATCTGCTCAAAACTGCTCGTTTGTAATTTTTTACTATTATTATTATTATAACCTTACCAGCCTACAACAAAAACTGCTTGATATATATTGCACCCAAAACTTTTGTACAATACTAAATAAGGTACTTCAAAGGTCATAGAGGTATTGAAAAGTCAGTTTTTCTTCTGTATTTTACATAAGCTAAAAAACATCATAATTGTAGTGTAAACGATGTTATCATTACCCCTTGAAGTTAGCTTTTTTACAGAACACTGGCGTTCCTTTAAAAAGCTTAAGTACAGAATGAAACAGGAATTACCAGCCAATAATAGATGAACACTAGATGACTGTAACATCTAGATACTCAATGCTTTATACACTGTACAACTGGTGTCTGTATGGAGCCAACCCCTATATTATGTATGAAGTGAAGGAGTAAAACAAATCAATACATAATATTAAATTTTATTACACATATTCATTGAATAATTACTTTTATTGACAGGAAGGTTTATTTAACCCTATGTTTTAGACGTATATGTTTTATTTTAAAAGGCTGTTATTCTACTGGTAAAGTTTTTTTTTACTCTTTTAGTGGGGGTTGTGTCTTGATCTAGGCATATAATCATCCTATACTATGCATTATATATAGATAATTTAGTTACACAGAAACTATAAATGCTCATTATCTTCTCAAACAAATCTCCATGACAATCTCTAGCTGCAGCTTAACATTTTACATCTCAAACTAATGTGATCAGATATTCAATAGCTACAGTAAATCATCATGAACTGTATCAGTTAGCTACTAGCTACGTTTATTATCATTACAATGTGTAAAATTAGCTACCATATAAAGTAATTTTTTGCCCATAAAAAAAGCCAGGAAACATGATAATTAAAAAATTGGAAATTTATAAACCTGCAAATAGGGATTGTAAAAAAAATGAAGGAATCAAGGCTGGAGATACTGTAGACATTATTTACTCAAACTACAAATCTCTATTTTGATTCCACCAAATGTAATTCTAGATAACACAATGGAGCCAAAATAAGAGTTTGTAGTTTAAGTAGATAAAGTTTACAGTATCTCCAGCCTTGATTCCTTACTTCTTTTCTATGATCCCCAGTTGCAGGTTTTTAAATTCCCAATTTTTTATTTATCTTGTTCTTTTGCATCCTGTCTGGCAATTGTTTGTGTTTCAATAATCAATACTAAAATGAAGAATAAGTTATTTTTAAAAAGATGAATACATATTTTTAGTTGAATAATATAAATTGTACATGACAAAACAATCAAACAGTATCAGTTTCTGTAAAATTTATTTTTACACAAAGCTTTTCTTCATGCTTTGATTAGTTTGTGTAATGGGTATACTGTAACTGCTAGTTTGGAATTTGATTAGTTTGTGTAATGGGTATACTGTAACTGCTAGTTTGGAACTTGATTAGTTTGTGTAATGGGTATACTGTAACTGCTAGTTTGGAACTTGATTAGTTTGTGTAATGGGTATACTGTAACTGCTAGTTTGGAACTTGATTAGTTTGTGTAATGGGTATACTGTAACTGCTAGTTTGGAACTTGATTAGTTTGTGTAATGGGTATACTGTAACTGCTAGTTTGGAACTTGATTAGTTTGTGTAGTGGTCATACTTTGTCTTCTAGCTCTGGACTTGATTAGTTTATGTAATGGCCATACTGTAACTGCTAGCTGTTAACTTTATAAGTTTGTGTAATGATTATATTTTATCTAAAGCTCTGGACTGTCATCATTCTGAATATTCATGCATTTACTTCAAATTTGTAGGCTTAGAAATGTATTGTAGAATTTTTGTTTTGTTCTTAGAATTAGACTTCAACATTCTTAGTTTCTGTATTCAAATACTCATATTGTATAAACTTAAATAAATATTTTAAATTCACAGCTACTACAATTTGTCTTAGCTATAATTTGCATTGAGATCCTACAAAAAATATTTTTCTCAAGAGAGAAACGAGTTCTAGGAATACCAGTTAGCTGTATAAAAATAACTTGAATTCAGTTTTTTACATCATGGGTTCACTTTTTCTTTACATGATAATTTTGAAATTTTCTAATCCACTTAAATAGAAACTAAACTTCTTTGTTAAAGGAAAGTTTATTTCAACAATTTTTAAGCCAGTTTGTCAGAAAAGATGTAATACGTAGAATCAGTACTGGTCAGCAGTTATTTTAATCATCAAATAAAGATTAAGATTTAAACTTGATATTGTAATTGGTTATATTTCAAATGATTTTTTTTTAAAACACTTAACACAGGCTTTGTCTTTCTATCCAAAATTTTAAATAGTTTCAGTTTTGGTTTGTGCTTTTGCTGCATAGCTCAAAACAACTACTGTTCCTGAGATGTATGAGTGGGCCTTTGAATCTCACAGTGAAGTGCGAGTATTTTGTATTAGTCATAAGAGTAAGCTCTGGATAAAACTACTCGTAGTAGGAAAAATAGAATAGCATGTAAAATAGATTGTACTAACAAAGAAATATGTAGAAATAGTAAAATCACAACTGTATCACAAAATAAATTAATTGCAATTAACATTACTTTGGTACTGGGCAAAAGGCATTCACTAACAATGAAATACTGTATGCAGAAGTTTTACATAAGTTATATAATCATTCCTGATATTTTCAAGCAGAACCATATGCCTAAAACGTCTGCAGTTGCTTCACCATTACTTGTGGTCTTCACAGAACTAAAATTTTCAGGGTAATTAACCATTTGTATTAATTACACAAAGGTATTTAAGCTTATGTTCAACTGTGTATGAAATATGATTACAACAAATTGTTGTAAGCTGTTTTTCTTTTCAGTTGCATATACATGTTTTAATGTATACTAATGCCTTATAATTGTCGTGTGAAAAAGCACAAGAAAATCAGTCTTAAAATCATGTTTTGCTTTAATACAACATATTTTAATATTTTTACTGAAAAGAGTAATAGGTTTCATACATTTTTCTTGTGTTTTTTTTTCTTACCCTGCTGCATTGTTATTTTACATGCCGAACAACAGCTAGTAGTCAAAAGCTTACTCGTGTATTGTCCTGCACTGCTATTCTTGAAAACCTTGCTACTAGTAGTGTAGATGTTAAACCCCTCCTTTCCTCCCCCTCCTGTCCAGCCTTGAAACAGAATGGTGTTGTCATGACCCAAGAACTTAAACAACAGTTGGAAGATGCTGCCGAGGCTACAAGCAAGGCTTACGATCAGGTCCGTCAGCTGGGGACTTCTCAGAATCTTGCATCGGATGGTGATCTGCTGTCCCCTGGCTCTGGTGAGTTGACCGGATTGATTCATTGCTAGATCAGCATACAAGCTTTGAATTCTCACATAGCTGTTTAAAAAATAATGAGATGATCATTTCAACAATAATATTAATTTTCTCGAGAAAACAAAGTATTATTTGTACACAAGTGTCTTTGTTTTGTATATTTAAATTAAATAAAGCTTGTTTTTGTGAAAAATCTAAAATTACTTCAGTAAAGTTGTTACTCACTCATCAAAGTATTTTTTTGAGAAATTTAAGCTTTTTTTTTCATTTTTGTGTTTACTTTCTTACTATTGTGTGCATATGTATCTCAAAAATATTTTATCAACCTTGTTTCTCCCCCTTTTTCTTACCATCAACTTTTGTCTCTCTGTTTACCTCTTCTTTCTTTCTTTTTCTGATGTACAATTTTATGGTAACTTTTTAACAACATTTTTATATTTTATCTATGTGTTTATGTTCTTATTTTCAATATTTTAAACTACAACATTATTCTAAAATTTCCTGTTCAATGCTTTTTCTCTCTCTCTTTAATATTCTTTGTTTTATCATCTAGTTTTATACATGTTTATACCCACTGTCATTTTTATTTTTCCATCAGTTTGTTCATATCAGTCCTCCACCTCCATTTAGCTCTATATGGTAAGTATAGAAAATTAGGCACAGTTATAGATATTGAAGATTAAAAAAGTCAGCTGTATATTTCTTGACTCATATTTGTAATTTATCAAATCATAACTGGAATTTGTTTTGGTAAAAATATGGAGCTGGGATAGCTTATTTTATTATTTGGCATCAAAGCAATGTAATATCTAACTTTGATTATTTTTAACTTTTACAACTAGTCTTTGAATGATCAGGGTAGAAATATTGTTTTAGACTTCTTATAAATTGTATGTTATGTTATTGAAAGTATTTTATAATTAAGCAAAGTCATGGTATAAAGCTTGTAACTAAGCAGAATGAACTGAATTACAGTGTAGTCCAAAATTATTTTTCCTATTTTGAAAAGTAATAATTGAAGAAGTAAAGAAATTCAACTATGCCATTTTCAACATCTTGTGGCCCAACTCAAACAATTTTTATTAATGTGTTAGTAGACTTCTACATCTGCACCATTACAGGCTCTCAGCACATCTAACCAATATTTGATTTCAATACATGTTTGTTGCAACATGCCCACAGTTACATTGGCATCTTGGTCTTTAGATCCATGATGTTTGCTATAGTTGTATAATACACAATATCCCTAACATATCCCTATACTTCTTTCCTGTACTGGTTTCTTTAATTATGCTGCCATTTTACAAGGTAACACTACTCACTAGAATGAACAAAAGACAATAAAAACTGTTTGATTTGGGCTACAAAATGTTGAAACTGCATGCTTGTATTTCTTTATTATTTAATTATTAAATTTTAAAATAGAAAAGATAATTTTGAACCACCCTTTTGATATAACATATCTTGTGTATAATTATTTCACAATATCAAAAGTGCTTATTTAAAAAAACTTAATAAGAAAGAAGAATTCTTTGAAACAGCTCCTGGTGCTTATGCTGCCTTAGAAGAAATCTTAGCAGAAAAGGCAGAGAAAGCTAAGGATGCTGAGGAAAGTAAGCTTCCAGCTGAAGTGACTGTGATGGGACCAATCTTGAGATACCTACAGCTCTTGTGTGAGAACCACAATCTTGAATTGCAGGTAGAAGAATATAAACAATAAATATTTTAATAAGTTTTTACTGAAACTTGGAGGTTCTTTTGATGCACATTTGTTCAACCAAATATTGTCAATAATATTTAATGACACAGAGACTTCAACCCCAAAAAAATTAGATTTAAACTCCATTTAATTTTTTCTATAAAACTTGTTTTAATATTTGGTAAACACAAATAAAATGTTTATTTATCCATATGTAAAAGCTAAAAATATAATTAACAAGTAATAAAAAACATTTTGTAAATGTCAAATGATGTAGGGATGGCAGTGCCAGAAAGAATGCAAACAAGAATATAAGGACAATACAGCTATACATAGATGATCCACATGACTTTTAATGTTACATTGCCAAATGCACGAGTACAAAATGGTTACGAGGTCAGTTGATTCAACCGACTTCATAGCCAGAGTGTAGTAATATAGACATGTTTTGACTGAACTTGGTTTTCCTTGTACACAAGTTCTACATTCTTAGTTACACTACATTTATGCCTACCCTGACATGACCATGATATTATGATAAACAAACTGCATACCAACAGTAAGGAATATATAACTTCCAACTGTAGTAATATTAAGGTTAAGTATTAAATTTTAATATTCAAAATCATGAAGGGATGATCTGTGTATAGCTGTATCATCCTTATATTCTTGTTTGTATTATTTTTTTGGCACTGCCATCCCTACATCATATTATATTTATAAAATGTTTTTATTACCTTTTGTGACATTTTATTCCCTTGACTGAAAGATAGTGTATTCTATGAATGTGTAATAAAATTTGATATTATGTGTATTGATTTTTTCATTATTATTATTCCTTCACTTCATACATAATATGCTCAACTATGGGCAAAGGATTATTTGATATGGTAGCTAACTTTATACATTATAATTATAATAAATGTAGCTAGTAGCTATCTGATATGGTTCATGATGATTTACTGCAGCTATGGAATATATGATCACATTAGTTTGAGATGTAAAATGTTAAGCTGCAGCTGGAGATTGTCATGGACATTTGTTTGAGAATATAGTGAACATTTATAGTTTCTGTGTAACCTAAGTTCTCTCTCTCTCTCTCTCTAATATATATATATATATATATATATATATATATATATAGTCACACTACCAGTAGGTAAAAATAAT